GACACACAGAAATAAAGTCCCACTCGCAACCACAAGTTGGCCAGATGTACAGGGCTTTACAGGGAATGAATGCACAGTACTTGAAACAAGAAGGGCAGATTCCTTAAAGTTCTGAGGTCCAGGCAGAGGACATGAACACCCAGCCCAGGGATGCTGGAAAGTTGGAGTGGGAAGTCTGATTTGTCACAATCCTTGCTACTTTCTCTACTGTCTTTTTCTACTTTCTCCTCTGTTCAGCCACTTCCTTGGTTAAAGAGGCCGGAGGTGGAAGATGGAGGAATTCTTGCTTTTGATCCCAGGGGACCCTTCTCAGAAAGGGACATCTGGTTTTCTTTGCTCCCTCATGGCCTAGACAGAGGGTCAGCAGACAGGGTTCTGGATATCCAGCAAGGCTGGCCCTCGTCAGGAGCCCCCAGCCTGACGTCAGTCCAATTCATTGTTGTTGCTGGGGCTTGAGTCACACCCTGTGACGCCACTGGGGTCAGCTCTGCAACAGCTGGAATGGCCTTCGGGGCCAGCTTCAGGGCTTAGCTCTCCCCCTGGGTACTCCCCAGGATGAGGTGGGGCCATCTGAGGCCACATTCATCAGGCAACGCCAGCTGCCTGCTTCCAAGGACTTGGGTTGGTCTTCAAGGTCCCTCCCTGGGCCTTCGCTGCATTCATGGCTGATAGCACCCTAGTCATGGCCTGCTGCCTGGCTGCTGGGACACCAGACTCTTGCTGAGAAGTCTGCTGCTTCTGTCTCTGCCTGTGCTGCCCCAGAGCTTCACTCTGAACGTTCAGTAAGCCCTCCCTGCCAGCCTCTTCATCTTCTCCAGAAAACCCTGAAGCTCCACAGCTTCCTGGCGCCCTCTCCTTCCTGCCCAGGTGCTCAAGTTGCTGTCCTATGTTCTCTGCAGTGGCCTGACTTTTCTTATGGTAACTAGGCACTTCCCACCTTTCTGAGAATGGGACTTGCTATTTCTCTTAACACTGGTGGATTTCTTTCTGTTTTGTTTTGAGATGGTCTTTCTTGCCATGTGATCCAGGTTGGCCTCATACCTATTCTGTAGGTCAGGCTAAACTTGAATTTTCCATCCTTTTGCCTCAGGTTCCCAAGGGCTGGAATTATAGGTCTGTATTACCAGGCCTGGTCCCCTCTTCTCTGAATGTGCCCCTTTACTTTCCAGGCCACCAGCATCTTAGTAACTTAGTAACTGCCCTCCTCACTCTTTTTGGCCCCACAGAACCTGCTGTCATTTCTTACAAACTATCTCTTTTTCTTTTAAGTTCTTGTTTTGTTTTGTTTTTCTAGACGGGGTTTCTCTGTGTAGCTTTGGAGCCTGTCCTGGAACTCACTCTGTAGACCAGGCTGGACTGGAATTCACAAAAAATCTACTTGCCTCTTCATCCAGAGTGCTGGGATTAAAGGCATGCATCACCACCACTGGCTTTTAATTTTAAAGACTTAAAAATGTATGTGTATGAATGTTTTGCTTACATGTGTGTCTTATACCACTTGCATGTCAGAAGAGGGCACCAGATCCCTTGGAACTGTATCAATCTTGTGGGTTCTGGGAATCAAACCCAAGTCCTCTCCAAGAACAAGTGCTTTTAACCACTGGGCCATCTCTCCAGGTCTCAGACCATTTCTTGAGGCTTCCTGGCCAGGTGTGTCTCCTGGCTCATCTTTGTTGTAAGCCTTGGAACTTCCAGGAGCTAGACTTTGTTAATTTGTTCTATGTGGTATTACATGGGTCTGATGATGGACAAATGCTCTACCACTTAGCTGTATTCTCAGAACTCTTTTTTTTTTTTATTATGCTTTTATTTTTTGGGATATAATTGTTTTTTGCCTGAGTGTATGTATATGCGTGTGTGGCTGGTACCTAGTGCTCTGGGAGGCCAGAAGAGGGCACTGGATCCCCTGGACCTAGAGTTGTGAACTTCCATGTGGGTGAACCCAGGTCCTCTGAAAGAGCAGCAAGTGCTCTTAACCACCAATAAAGACACCTCCCAAGCCGTTATTATACTACTAATTTTGAGACAAGTCTCTCTAGTTGCCTAGGCTGACCTTGAACTCACTCTATATCCCAGATTGGATTTGACCAGTCATGAGCTACCAGGCCTGACTAAACAGTTGCATTTTGATCATAGGGGTCAAGGCATAGAATTGGAGAACTCATGCCACACACAACCATGCTTTTTGGCGAAGACTGGAATATTCAGATAAGGCTGGGACTCAATGTCTGGGTGTCCTGAAAGAAGTCGGGAAGGTCTGAGGGGGCAAGGCTTGGCCAGCATGGGAAACCAGAGTGGTGAAAGGACCCAGCCACGAAGAAAGGCAGCAAAGGCTCAACAGGGAGGGTGGGTGGCTCATGGAGCATGGAGAAGAGTGATGGGAAGAATATAGGCATGCTACAGGCCTGTCATTTCATGGGGGTGGGGGTTCAAGAATCACAGGCCAGCCTTGGAATGAGGCTCTCTCAAAATCACCAATGAAATAGCAACAATAAAAACAACAATGAAGCCGGGAAATAGCAACAATAAATGAAGCCGGGCGTTGGTGGCACACGCCTTTAATCCTAGCACTCAGGAGGCAGAGGCAGGAGGATCTCTGTGAGTTTTAGTCCAGCTTGGCCTACATAGTGAGTGCTAGGACAAGCTCAAAAACAATACAGAGAAACCCTGTCTCGAAAAACCAAAAACCAAAACAAACCAAAAGAAAAACAAAAAACCCCAAAAACAAAAAACAATCCCTCCAAAACAAAACAAAAAAACCAACGAAACAACAATAGCAACAAGGTGACCAAAAACATCAGTAGAGAGAGGAAAAAGCAGCTGTAGACTACAAGGGGGTGATATATGTGAGGAATGGATGTTTATTTTATTTTGGGTTTTCGAGACAGGGTTTCTTTGTAGCTTTGGAGCCTGTCCTGCAACTTGCTCTGTAGACCAGACTAGCCAAAAACTCACAGAGATCTGCCTGCCTTTGTCTCCTGAGTGCTGGGATTAAAGGCGTGCCTCACCACCACCTAGCATGATGGATGTTTATTACAGGGAATAGTTTACACCATTACAGTGAAGGTCCAAAAGCCGATGGCAGCAATGGGAAAGCTGGGAGAGCAGAGGTTTAGTTTGAGTCTGAGTGCTGCAGTCTGGTGATCTGGAGACTCAAGAAGGGCTGATGTCCCAGCCCTAAAGCAGTAAAGAATGCCCCTTGCAGGAGAGCAAGGCTTGGTGTTTTTATCAGATCTATGCCTGATCGGATGATGCCCACCACACTAGGAAGGACCATCTACTTCATTTAGTCTACCACTCTCAAAAGAAACACCTTCACTGCCTATCTGACAAATGTCTGGGTGTGTTCCACTCAGGCTGACACATACAATGAGCCACCACAGTAAACCACTGCACACCATGGGGCTGGTAAGGGGAGTTTTATCTCACTCGAAAGGTACATTTGTAGATTAGTCAGCACTGCAGTCAGGGCTTCTGAAGTGCTGGCATGACGGTTACCAAGGCTGAATGGTGTCCTCAGGAAGGTGCCAGCAAAGTGCTTGAGACAGAGGTAGGATCAAGTTCTGGCTTAAAGGTAGAGATTTCACCTAGGAAATACAAGGCCCTAGGTTCAATCACACACACACACACACACACACACACACACACACACACACACACACACACCCCTGGCTCTAGGCTCTAACCCTCAGGAACCTATTGATTGATCCTGATTTATCAATAGAATAATCCTTGATGCACTTTAGATTCAATTTTGTCAGTATCCTGTGGCTTTAAATTGACATGGTGGAAAGTTGGCAAAGATACTATTAATCAAGGCACTACTAGACAGTAGGTGCTGTACAGTTGACATATTCCTCCCTGGTTGGTATTAGAGAATGATATCATATGTGGCTGCTGAAGCCAGACAGGTGATTGTCTGTATTGGTAAAATGCACCGGTTTGAACCAGGTCTACTATTTAGTCACTGATCCAAGTAAGTGACTTTTCTATTGTCAATTTCTCATTCACCTTGTAGAATAGCTAGATACAACGCACATTCACTTGCTTTTGGAAATGACATGTGTTTGGAAACCTATCTTCATTCAGCCTCACGTTAAACAACTCAGGAGTGCCCCCTGTTGGAGCCAACTCTATCTAGGAGACAAAAGCAACTGACCAAACCCTGTAGGCTCTGGCTTACCAATCAAGCACAAAGACAACTAAACAGGCTCTGAGAAATTATACAGCAGGAACACTTAATTTGCATTCACAGAACACCTTACAGATCACAAAGGTCTCTCTTGTGATCCCTCACAGAAGCTCCCCGTTTATGAGGGACTTCAGAAAGGATGGGGTGATGTAGGAGAAGCAACCGCGTATTCGTTAAAGACAAGCCTGTCACCTGCTCGGCACCGGGCAGTGATTTTGTATGAAGATAACTTAGGGACATTAAGTTCCTTTTTTGAAATCTTCCTGTGGGTCTAAGCTCAGTAAGCCTAACTGTTACGCACTTTGAGCCAGCATAAATTCGGCCACCAATCAGCATCGTGCAGCAGCACACCGGCCTGCACTCATCTCTTGGGAGCCCTTCAGATGTTGGGATCTTGGAATCTCTGTTGTCTTGGGGCTGTCACCGCCTGCCGGGGACCACGCCTTGGTCGCAGGGGAGAGAGTTCTCCGTCGATGACTCAGCTCGGCCACCAGAGGCAGCGCAGAGTTCACCAGTCCCTTCTTTCCCTCTTGTCTCGATGGCGGAAGTGAGTTGTCCCAGCACAAACAACGTAGTCGCTGGTAGGAGTGAATGGACTCGTCCAAAGGAGGGGGTTATTTTTCTCACCGAATCTTGTGGCCCGAAGGAAAAAAATCAAGAAAAAGCCTACTACTTAAGTGATTGATCATCTTAATAGTGTCTGTGGCTCGTTTGAGCTTCCCGACGATGCGCCTGCAGCGGTATAGGGCTGGGTCCAACCGAGCCGGGTCAGCATCCACTATAGGCACGGATGGTTCCTTCCGGTTCCGCCCCCAGCCGCGGAAAACTTCCGGTCTGCGAGCCGCTCTGGCGGAGGGGTCGCCGGCTGGAGGGACCTGTGTTGGCTGTCCTGTTCGCTCGGGACAGGTGTCCGAGCCACAGTCCTCGTCGTCTGCGTTGCTGCCCCGAGACGGCGCGAGTTGGCGGGCGGCGTCCCTGACGTCCGGTCCGAATTCTCGGTACGGATCCAAATAGTCTGTTTTTGCTTTTAGTCTGTTCCCGAACACACGGCGTTCGCATGTGGGTTGGAGCGGCCCTGTGGGAGGAGCGTCTGAAGGAGGATCCGAAGCTAAGTGACATTTGCTGTAGTCCATAGATGGAGGGTGGGGGATTGGCGTGTTCCGGATCAGCAGGACTAAAGCGTGATCTTTAGGACCAGAGGGAAGTGTAGTCCCCTCGTAAGCTCACTGAAATTGGAAGGAGGGGTGGGTCCTGGAGTAATGCTGAAAACGAGGGAAGTTGCTGGTTAGAGGGAGGAATGGAAGAAAGGGCTGGGCCAGAACTGGGAATCTCTAGGTGGGGAATTGGCAGGCTGGAGGTAAACAAGAGAAAAATAATGAGTAAGAGAGCTGTCACATCCTTGATCCTAGAGAAAAGAACCCTTGGAAGAAGCTGGAATTCTGGGTCAGGATGCATTGAGCGGTTAAGAGGAGCCGGTTTATAGTGAGGAGTGGGATATAGTTCCTTTCTTATAGGAACTATTGGGAGAGGCAGAAAACACCTGATGGTAATTATGCCTGAGCTGATGACCAGGTGAGAAGGAGAGCCAGCCTGATGGCAGACAGGTCCACACACTTGCCTTGTGCCCAGAGGAGAATACTACTATTTAAGAGCAGGAGACAAAGCCCAGCATTTGGGAAGTTGAGGCAGAAGATTGCCGTGACTTAGAGGCAAGCCTGGATCAAATGAAGGCCTGCCTCCAAAAAATAACAAAACCCCAGCTAAAACACACTACCAAAGCAGGTAGCAAAATTAAAACCAGTGGGTTGAAGCCTGAGGTATAGATTCCTTTTGTAAAAGAGATAATTTAACTGTTGCCCTCTAAAAGAATCTAAAGGTCTGTATATGAGGTGGTGAGAAGTCAGTCACCAAGAAACTGGCAGGCAAGCAAAGTACACATCTTAGAAATGTAACTGCATTCCCTGTGGGCTCAGTATGTTTGTTTACCTTCTAAGTTTCCCCCCAAGTGTTTAGTATTTTTTACATTACTGTGCGGGTGTTTGCCTGCCTGGATGACTGCACTGTGTGTGTGCAGTGCCCACAGATGAGGTTGTTGGATGTTCTAGGACTGGAGCTACAGATGGTTGTGAGTCACCCCATGGGTGCTGGGAATTGAACCCAGGTCCTTTGGATGAGCAGTCAGTGTTCTTAATCACTGAGCCATCTTTCCAGCTTCTGCCTTCTAGGTTCTTTTCCCAACCCACATCCCAGTGTATCGATTCGTGGTTGCCAGGTAGTAACAGTATAATAATGAATGTTAACCCCTGCTTTGGGAATGTTTGCTACTCGCCAGGCCCAGTTTTAGGTGGTATGCACATTTAATTCTTTTCAGATTGCTTTGTTATCACTAGCTCGCTTTTTTTTTTTTTTTTAATGAGTACTGGAGATTTAGAGCACTTCACACATATTACATCCCCAGTCTTGCCTTTCTATTGTCTTATGCTGGAGGATAAGTGTTAAGCAGCTTTGAAATCTAATCCTGGACACCTGGTATTTGAGTCATTGCTTTCAGCCAGTAGGACTGTTTTACATGTATTATCTTAATTAAATCTTTGCTGAATCCCAATATATAGGTGGAAAACTGCGGTTCAGAGAGGCTGAATGATTTGATTAGGATCTGAGAGTGTTAGCTTCTCTATTTCTGTCACAAAATACCTAAAGACTGCCAGGTGATGGTGGCACACACCTTTAATTCCAGCATCGGGAGGCAGAGGCAGGCGGATCTCTGAGTTCCAGGACAGAATGGGCTGCAGAGAAGAAACCCTGTCTCAGGAAAACAAAAACAAAAAACAAACAACTAAACCAAACCAAAACATAAAAACAACAACAACAAAACACCAAAAAACTAAAACCAAACAAACAGATCCAAAACATTGCACACAGGAAGGTGTAGGAGAGCCAGGCTCACCCTGTAGTCCCAACCACCCAGGATGTGGAGGCAGGAAGGCCGTTGGGGTCTAGGAGTTACAGGTCAGTTTGGGAAATAGACCTTGTCTGTCTGTCTGTCTGTTCACCTTCCTCTGCCTCCTACATGCTGCCCTAAAGGTGTGCACCACTCCCATTTCAGACCTTGTCTCATAAAATATCGAAGGGAAGTAGAAGGGCTGGTCTGTGGTGCTGAACCCCAGGACTATTGGACATGAGTATTTTCACCCCATTTCTAGGTCTACTTCTGGCTGGTCTTGCTGCCCCACCTTTCTGTATTCAATATATTTTACATGAGAGTCTAGATGGCTCTAAAGATAGGTGGATTTGGAGTGTGTGCATTATTTGGGTTCTAAAGCCCAGCCTTTACAGCTTTCTAGGGACTTGTCAAAGTGGCTTGTGACCCTAGTGGCTTAAAGAGCTGACTTTCTGATGTAGAGATTCGATGTTGACACAAGGGTTTAGTGTCTTTTTTTGCCCTTGGGACAGTCCAGATGCTTTAACTTGGCCATTAAGGTCCCAGAAAATTGACTTGGGCCTTTTTCTTTGTGCTCCCAACTCACATTCTTGCCATTATACCATTTCCCTTGCTGGCTTTCTGCACATGCAGCTTCCGAGGGCAGAGTCCCCTGTGCTCATGCTGACTCTGCCTGCCTGAGGCGGCACAGTGGCTCTTGGCTGCACTGGATTGAGTGCCACAAATGGAATGCTTGTCTTACCTCACCTGGTAGTTGGACTGGGGACTTTTTGGCCCCTTGCTGGGTCCAAGGGTCTGTGGGTTCCTCATAAAATGTGCTACCAGAACACAGAAGGGCCAGAAGAGGCAGGCTGAGCCTGGTTGAGCAGGAAGTGGACAGGACCTTCTAGATGATCTGAGCTGGTTCTTGCAGGCTGCCCCCTAGGTGGGGTGAAGTGTCCTGTCTTCTGCCTTTGCTCCGGTGCCAGCTGCAGGATGAACTGTCGATCAGAAGTGCTGGAAGTGTCGGTGGAGGGGCGGCAGGTGGAGGAGGCCATGCTGGCCGTGCTGCACACAGTGCTCCTACACCGCAGCACGGGCAAGTTTCACTACAAGAAAGAGGGGACCTACTCCATTGGCACTGTGGGCATCCAGGATGTTGACTGTGACTTCATTGACTTCACATATGTGCGTGTCTCCTCTGAGGAGCTGGACCGGGCCTTGCGCAAGGTCGTTGGGGAATTCAAGGTAAGTGAATGGCCCAGCCAGTGCCAGGTGGAATGTGTAGCCCTCCACCCTGGCGGTGTGGCAGGCCAGCTTGCCCTTCCAAAGAGCAGGAGTCAGTTGTTCAATGCTCAAAAGAACGGATGTGTCGAGAGCTTCTTTGGGGGAGGTGAGCTCTGTGTGTCTGGGAGGGTGCTGGAAAGGGCGAGCTGAACTACCTCAGTCCCTCAGCTTAAGCAGTGAGGTCCCTGGGAGGTGGTTACGGCTCCCATGGTCTTGACTGCCCTGGCTCCACAGCTGTTTATGACAGCTCTCTCTTAGTTTGGGTCTTTCCCCTCTGGTCTGAAACTCTTAAGAGGGAGAAGTGTTTCGCTGAGTGCCTTCTCTCCAAATGTGCAATCTTTTTGGGCATTGTGACCTGTGCTGAGTACACCCGTGTTGGCAGGGAGAAAGCGGTGAGGGACACATCAGGCTGTTCATGTTGGTCACACCACTCCAGCGATGAACCGGCCCTGAATTGTTAATTTTTTTAAGATACTATATAAAATACTGACTTTCATCATGACATCTTCATACACGTATGCCATTGTACCTTGCTCTTACCCATCCCTTTCTTGATGGTCTCCTTTCTCTCCTAAATAGTCTTCCCTTCTTGTCATTTGTATGTGTATGCACATATTTGATCTCGATTTTGCATATGAGAGACAACTCGTGATAATGTTGTCTTTTATTTCTCCCGAATTGCCCTACTCCCCGCCTCTCTGGCAATGTGATTTTTATCTTTGTTTTGAGAAGCTTAGTTTTAGAGTACTGTAGGGAAATCCTTCTCCATTACTTTGTTCCCCGAGTCTCTCCATTCCTAGGCACTGTGTTCTTATTGCAGGGTTTGCATGGATGGAAGTTGTCCAAGGCTACAGCATTTATACTCCATCACTTTCCTTTTAAGCTTAGGCAGGGTGAGGTGTGAGGTTCCCTAGTCACTCTTGAAGATGTGCAGGTGACTCAGACATAGAAAAGAGTGCTTAAGCGTAGGGACTAGCTGGGCGTGGTGGCTTATGCCTTTAATCCTAGGCACACCTAATTTTGAGTTCAGCCTGGTCTACATAGTGGGTTCCAGGATAGCTAGAGCTACCCAGTAAGACCTTGTCTAAAAAGGGGGGTGAGTGAGTAGGAATTAGGGACTAGAGCCATCCTTCCTCCTTAACAAGGCTGAACTTGTACAGGTGACATCACAGAAAATGACCTGCCTTGTGGGTACCACAAGGATTAAGATGTACCTAGTGTTTGAATGGAGCCTGATACTATTACAGAATTGTTAGCCATTGTCACTACCAGTCAGGATTGTGTGAATGTGTATCTACAAAGGAAAGACTGTACCCACGGGAGAGGCATTTCTGCCTTCTGCTGCTCAGGGGCCCAGCCCAGCCCAGCCCAGCCCAGCCCAGCCCAGCCCAGCCCAGCCCAGCCTGGAGCAGTAGCCCACAGGACAGAAGAGAACACATGAAGCCCCCAGATCTGTTTTATCCTTCTCTTTTCTTAAATTATCCCTTGACTTTCTCTTTTCCAAACCAGTCCCTAAGGCTTTATCGTTTGTTCCTCCTGCTTTTTAAAAAGAGACTGAGTTTGGATTGTCATGAAGTAGAAAGGCAAGTGGGGTTTATCTGGGAGGAGATGCTGAAGGGTTTTCAGAGGAGATTGTATTTTGTTTATGTGTATGTCTGTGTAAATATGTGCCACGTATGTCTGTAAGCCTGTGTCACACATGTGTCTATGTAAGCACATGCCAGTTGTGTGTGTGTGTAAGCATGTACCACATGTGTGTTGATGTAAGTGTGTGCACATATGTGCAGGTTCCTGTGGGAGCAGAGGAGGCTGTCAGATTCCCTAAAGCTGGACTTAGATGCGGCTGTGGATCTGATGGGATGTTGGAACTACTAGGGTTCTCTGCATGTACCCTTAACTAGTGAGCCATCCTATGGCTCCGGGAAAATGATCTGAGGGTTGTGGAGGACCCGGGAATGGGGTGGTGGAAAGAGGAGGCCCTTAATGTGATGTTGAAGTGACAGGTGTTGAGATCTGACAACTTGGAGTCAAACTTTGATACGGGTCTTCACACGATCACTTTGGCAAATGATCTTTTTTTTTTTTTTTTTTTTTAAATATCTGTATGCATATGTATGTGTGAACACATGAGCAGGGTGCACAAGGAGGCCAAGTGACAGCCTAGTTGTCATCCTTCGAGATAGTCTCTCGAAGTTCTGGAAGCTCACAGATTAGGCTGGCCTGGTTGGTGATCAAGCCGGGCCATCCTCCTGCCCCTGCCTCCCCAGTGCTGGAGCTATAAACATCCATACCGTGTCTAGCCATGTCCAGCATCTTTATGTGGCTCTGGGGATCACACTCAGGCTTCTGAGCAAGCTCTTCCTTCCCGAGCTGCCTGCTCGCCCATGTGCTGTTTCTTCTGTGAGCCTCATTTTTACCTTAGTAAAATGAATGTAACCTACCTCGCTTCTGCAATTGTTAGAGAAGCCAGTGATGTTGAAAGTCCTTGACTCAGAATAGATGCCTCTAGACCTGGTAGCCCCCTTGATTGCCCCATTCCCCTGCTTTTATCTCCCATTCTGGGATTATAGACACCCTGTCTTGGTTACATCACGGCCAACACGACAGTTAAAGTGGGTTATTTGGAGTTTGTAGTTTCAGAGGGTTAAATCCATGACATCATGGGAGCATGACAACAGGCAGGCATGGCTCTGAAACAGTACCTGAAACTTGTATCTTAATCCATGAGCACAAGACAGAGATGGGGCCTTTGAAACCTCAAAGCCTGCCCCTAGTGGCACACCTCTTCCAACAAGGCCACACTTTAGTCCTTCCCAACAGTTCTACCAACTAGGGACTATATATAAGCTTGATTCAAACCACATAGTTAACTCCCTGGCCCCAGAGGCTTTGGGCCATATCATAATGCAAGATGTGTTTAGTTAAACTTCAGGTATCTCTATGGTGTTTCACAGTCTCAACATCTTTTTTTGGTCTTGTTTATCAATGTAGGGTTTCTTGTGTAAACCTTGATAACAGAGTTACGATTTTGCAGTTTAACAGAGAAACCTCAGGTCAGCATCTTCAAGGTTATATAAATGCCTGAGGCATTGGAACAGGCTTTGCCCTATTTTCTAGAAACGGAGGCAGGCCACAGGCATTCCCATGCTCTTTCTCACATGTGCTGGCATTCCAAATTCCCTTCTTAAGAAATACAGTATTGGATGTTTCCATATCCATGTCACAAATTCCTTACATTCTCACATAACTTTAACTCAAATCCCAACAGTTCTACCAACTAGGATATTCAAATATACAAATATACAAAAAATAGCCTGTGGGGCCATTCTCATTCAGCCCCTGCTTATAACACAATAATTTCTTATGTGTGAGTGTGTACACTTGTGTACGTGTGTGTCTGCACCTCAGCCCACATTTGATAAGCGCCACTTCTTAAAGCTGGAGCTGGGCAGTGTGTCCAAGCCTTTAGCCCCAGGTGGATCTCTGAGTTTCAGGCCAGCCTGGTCTACTGAGCCAGTTCCAGGACAGGCTCCAAAGCTACAGAGAAACCCTGTGTCAAAGCAAGCAAGCAAACAAACAAATAGCTGGAGCTGGGCAAGGAGAAGGGTGTTAGTTTGCTTGAACCAGTTTTAGGCTAGCGTTATTTTATGTCACCTCACACAAGTCCTTTACCTTCTATAGGTTTCATTCTCTGCCGTGTTTAGAAGATAGGGTGGGTACAAATGAAAATGAATTCCCCAGGGTGTGGAAATCAGGCCTCATGGGTTAAGAACCTTCCACGGCCATGGCTTGCTCATCTGTTGTGTCTTCCCTAGGATGCACTACGAAATTCAGGTGGTGATGGGCTAGGCCAGATGTCCTTGGAATTTTATCAGAAGAAGAAGTCTCGATGGCCTTTTTCAGATGAGTGCATCCCTTGGGAGGTGTGGACAGTCAAGGTGCATGTGGTAGCCCTGGCCACAGAGCAGGAGCGGCAGATCTGCCGAGAGAAGGTGGGTGAGAAGCTCTGTGAGAAGATCATCAATATTGTGGAGGTGATGAGCCGGCATGAGTACCTGCCCAAGATGCCCACTCAGTCAGAGGTGGACAACGTGTTTGACACAGGCTTGCGGGACGTGCAGCCCTATCTCTACAAGATCTCCTTTCAGATCACTGATGCCCTGGGCACCTCAGTCACCACCACCATGCGCAGGCTCATCAAAGACACCCTTGCCCTGTAGGCCTTGCTGGAGTCTTGGCGACTCCGTGATGGCTCTGGGAGTCCAATGCGGGGGTCTTGGGGCTCTGGAACCTGCTCTGGACCCTTGATAAGACTTGAAGAGAAGCTCCTGGTGTCCTTGTTTTGTAGTTACTGGCTTCTGGTGACCTTGCCACCTTTGTAGTGGTTCTGTCCTGGATGCAGCCTCTCCACACCTTCCTTGGTGGGGTTCTCTTTCTACACTGTGCAGGACTACCATGAAGGTGGCAAATAAAGTTGAGATGTGAGTTTGGCTCAGCTGTCTTGGCCTGTGTCCTGCCCTGGAACATGAACACTTCCTGACATTCTCATGAGGACACACATGTATGTTGAAGACATTATTCCATACTGAGAGGAGTGGATTGATGCAGTTAAGGACAGGTTAAAACTGATGGAGCTTGTGCTCTGTTAGACATTCACATGTATAGGTGTTACCCAACAGATGTTACCATGACTTGGCCCGTGAAAGGGCAATGGAGTGTTTTGTCATTTAACACGGGGGTGTCTAAGGAAAGGCGGTGACACTGCCCAGGTTGGCCTGACTCATTGTTGCGGCAGTTTTGGGAACACACTCGTTCTTACACAGGTGTATCCAGTTTCCGCTGCTGCACTTTGTTCATTCTGTATTTTGTGATGCTGTTGGCTACTCCTGGGGAGATCTGAGCACAAAAGAGTGAGCTGCCCATAGGGAGGAACACTGCAGCTTCCTGGGGGCCTGGTCACAGTCCTGGGGCAGGGAGCTGGGATGACCAGAGGACTGTGCAGGGTTTTCCAGGCCACATGTACATTGCCTCTGGCTGTTTTCATGACAGGCTGTGGTGTTCTCAGTTTCTGGGCATTCTGAAGGATGGACAGGTCTGAGGGTCTTGGAGCTAGAGCAGGTGTCTTTCCAAGCTTCCCTGCCTGCTACAGTCATTGACATTGACTAGAGGTGACTTTTTAGGGGATGTTTGAGACAGGGTCTCTATATAGCTGAGATATTCCTGGCTCATTCTACATTTCTGGCTGTCCTAGAACTTTGTAAGTTTTGTAACTGGCTGGCCTCAGATTTCAGAAATTCACCAGTCTGCCTGGGATTAAAGTCATAACCAGGCTTTTTGTTGTTGTTTTTGGAGATTTTGGCTGTCCTGGATCTCACTCTGAAGATCAGGCTGACTGGTCTTGAACTCAGAGATCTGCCTGCATCTGCCTCCCAAGTTCTGGGATTAAAGGCGTGCGCACCACTGCCAGACTTGGTTGTTTGTTTTTGAGACAAAGGTAGTCCCAGCTGGCCTCAAACTCATCATGTAGTCTGACCTTGGATTTCTTATGTTCTATATACAAATGCTGGGATTGGGCAAGTTGCTAGGCAAGCACTCTACCAACTGATCTATACCCCAAGCCTCTCCACAGTGACTTTATTTTTGAAAAGGGAATTTAAAGGGTTGGAGAGACGACTCAGCCATTAAAAGCACTAGCTGTTTTTCCTGAGGTCCTGAGTTCAATTCCAGCACCCACATGGTAGTTCACAACCATCTATTGTGAGATCTGGTGCCTTCTAGCATGCAGGCATACATGCAGACAGATCACTTACATCAAAAAAGAAAGAAAGGAAGGAAGGAAAGAAAGAAAGAAAGAAAGAAAGGGAACTTAAAATCTTCTCAAGGACTTTCTAGGAGACCTGGGCAGGCTCCTATGCATTTGAATTGCACTGGTCTCCCCCACCCTGGCTAGGTCATGGATAACAACCTGGCAGTGGCCTGTCTTCCAAGACAGCAATGCCCCTGCCCTTGAGCATTATGATTCTCCTGAGGTGGGGACAGTGGGCTAGAACTATCTCCCTTTTTTAAATTATTTTTTGGAAATCATAATTACATCATCCCCCTCCTTTGCTCCCTCCAAACCCTCCCACGTAACCCTCCTTGCTCTCTGTCTGCTCTTTTCTTGGTAAATAGGACTCTTTGGCCAAAAAGACAGGAGAAAAAGAGTGGAGATAGGCCTTGCCATTTGGGTTCCTTGTTCTACCCATTCTCTTTGCCCTGGGGTCTGAAGGAATCCCGTGTTCTACTTGCCTGCCCATTTGGGCTGCCCATTTGACTGTGTCCCTGGGGGCTAGAAGTGTTGAGCTTCTAGTTCAGGCACAGAAAGCTCAGAGTGGTCAGTGCTCAACCAGCACCTGGGAGGGGTGGGGTCTAAGACTCTCAAAAGCTGAAACCCCTGAGAGAAAGGGAAGCCTTGAGGAAGCCTCCTGGGTTTACCTGGAAGTTTTAAAATTTTACGGGCATGGGATTAGAAAGCAGATAGGCTAGGCCTAGAAAAAGACCTACAGGCTACTCTGGAGGAGCCTGTCTAGGAGGGGCCTGAGCATTCACTCATTCTGCACAGAGTTGGGCAGAGCGGGGCGGTAGAGCCCTGGGAGGCCCGCCCCTTGAATACATCTCACAGGGCCTCAGCTCTCGGGATAGTGTGCACATCTGGGCAGCTGGTGGGAACATGAACGCCTCACAGGTGGGAGCTGTGGCTAAGGCTGCCTGGCTGAGCTGCTGTAACCAGTCTGGGTTGCCATTCCGGCCGCCGGAGGGGACACGGATGGTGCAGGCGGTAGTGCTGGGTGTGCTGTCGCTTCTGGTTCTCTGCGGGATCCTGTTCCTGGGTGGTGGACTCCTCCTCCGAGCTCAGGGCCTGATAGCACCACTGGCTCGGGAAAGGCAGGCATCCCACGAGGCCGAGCCTGGTGCCTGTGGAGGGAATGACTCCTAGGTGTCATCCTGTCTTGAGAGGTTCAGCTGCTTCTGTACCTTCCAGAGCCCATTTCTGTGGAGCACAGTAGAAGGTCCATCCCACAAGCTCTGATCTCCTGCACAGGTGAGAGCCTTGAGGCACAGGGAGAGTAGGGGTGGGGCTGGGTGGGGTGGGCACAGTGATGACCTCTACCCTCACCAAGCCAGACAGCTGCAAGTCCAGGGTGGGGCTGGAGGAAATGCGCCTGTCCCCTAGGCACAGACAGCCTTTGTGTTCTCATGTACATAAAGGAGGAGGCTGGAGGGGCCTGGTGATGGGAGCTTTTTCTAGTACCTGTGTTTCCCCACCTCTGCATCTGCCCAGTCCAACTTGTAGTGTGCGTGCTGAGTTCAGCTTAACCTTTTGTACTGGAGCCTTGGCTTGCTCCGAGCCTTTGTCCATGCACAGGAGCGGGCAGACGGACCAGCCAAGGTGAAGGTGGAGGAGGGGAGGTAGGAGATTCTTTACTCCCACTGAAGGTATCCCTGGTCGTTTGGGGGAACCTTGTGGGTAGAGAGGTGTGCCAAGGCCCCCTCCCCTGACCCCTGCTTTGTGTGCTGTGTGTTGGGGTGGTGATGGCAAGGTTCCTGGCAGGAGCAGATGCTGCGGGAAGTAGAAGTGGGGCTGAGGATTCCCAGCTGTGGGGGCTGTGTCTGGTCTCCTGTCTCCATCTCTCTAAGGATGGGAACCATCTGGAGAGAAGGGCCTGGGTGGCCCAAAGGACAAAGTAATCCCAGTCCAAGGCCACCTCAGACTGAGCCATGAAAGGGGGGTGCTTTTGCTGTCTCATCAATATTCAGCTGTGTGTGGGGACTCCTGGGGGCTTGTGTGAGAGGCTGTTTCTCGGTGACTCGCGCCCCACCTGCTTTCAAGTTGCTGCCAGAAAGGCAGTAGTGCAGGGCGCCTGTGAAGTTGGCCTGGTAAGGGGCCCCGGGTGTGGGCAGGTGCAGCTAATCAGCTGTGAAGCCGACGATGTGTGATCCTTGCTTAGCAGCTAAGGGTTTGGCACCAGTTCCCAACAGCCGTGCCACACTAGCCTTGAGAGTGACAGATTTCTCACATTCAAGATGCCAGGGCAGTGTGTGTGTGTGCGCGCGCACGTGTGTGTATGTGTGCTACTGGCATCAGGGTAGTGGGCGGGGCCCAGGAACTGTCCCACCCCCTTTCCTGGTCTTGGGCACTGGGGATCTTCTCTTGTACCAGGTTCCTCTGAGCCCACTGCCTGATACTCTGCTATCTTCCACCATGTGCTTTACTTCTCTCTCCTCAGTGAAATGGAGGGTCTCTAAGTTCCTGCAAACCCCTTCGCTGACAAACGGGGGAGCTCAGAGAACTTTGAGAAGGTAAAACTCACAGACAAGCACGTGGCATACTCAGGAGAGTGGCAGAGTCGGAACTGGACCGTGGGACTCCGGGTTAAGCCCTCTCCTGAGTCTGTCCTCCCACCACAAGGGAGACATACAGGCACATGGGCGGCCTTCAGCTTGAGTCAAGGACAAACCCTAAGTCTCGTCATTGACCACTCTTGTCCCTATTCCCTCAGCAGCCTTGCCAGGTACCTTTTTCTCCTAGAGCAGTCCTCAAATGCCAGGAGACAGCCCCTTACCAGCTGGGTGCAGCCTTCTTGGCTTGAACCTGAGGAATGGGGGAGGGGCTCAGGCTTATTGGAGTAAACATGGATGTGACAGATCTAAGCCATCCGCTCAAATCCCCATGGTGTTAGGAATGTGTGGCGATTGGGCAGCAGGAATGGCTGTGTCTCTAGCAAGGCTGTCTCCAGCATCATCTTGTCTGCTCACACCCAGGAGGGAGACAGAGCTGGGAGAGGGGTAGGCCAAAGCTTTCTTCACCCTACTTCCTGCCTTTGATGGCCCTCCGGCTCAGTGTTTGGAAATGGGTACAGCATGTTCAGAAGTTCCCTACAGATCTCTGGTCAAGGCCGTTAGGCTGGGTCGGGGATGGGGGTGGGGGGAGAAGGGATGCTGCAGTCAACTCCTTTCAGGGTAAAAAGAGGTGGGGGCTGGGGGCAGGTCTGAGGGACAGAGAAGTGGCACCTTGGCTCCCTGTGCACTCTGTTAGCCGGAGCCTGTGCCACACGGGCTGGGGCAATTGGGTGACTGGCATTCTGCCCTGCCCTATCATTCTGAGTTCATCGTGTACAGGGCCCCATCTGATCTCCTCAGCTGACTGCACACTCCCTCCAGTCAAGATAGGCCACCATGTCTTGCAGACGCTGGAGCAAGCCGTGCCCCTCGGAGAGCTCTCCCTCCACCCGCCATCGCACCAGGAAACCCCTGCCACCCACCCTCACCCCATTTGTGCTGCCAATGGCTGACTGAAGATACCTGGACTGTGGTGCCTGCCCACTCCCTGATGCCTGGAGGGGGTCCGGGAGACTCATGCTCCAGGAGCAAGAGAGTCTGCTTGCTGACTGCTGCGTGCCCTGGGCACTGAAGTGGTTTTACATCCCAACTGCTTGGACATGAGTGTGTCCTCTGCACACCAGGCCCCTGTGGACAAGAGTGCAGCTCCTGTCCTGCCTGATGCTAGACAGGAGTGCCGTACAACCCAGCAGCCTATTGTAGTCTGTTGCTGCTGAGAACTGTTGGTTAGTAGCTCCCATTTGGAGAGCATGTCAGCCACCAGTAACACACCATCACTTTCCATGGCTTGCTATTAAATTATCCAGCAATGCAGTTCTGAGTGTCTGGTCTGTTTCCAGCCCTTGACCCTTGGGATTCCTGGTTTGTTTCCCCACTCCCCTCCAATTTGGCCTCCTTCTATCAGTTTTTTATTAATTGTTTGAAATAGGGTTTACTACAATAGCCCAAGCTGGCCGAAACTCACTGTATGCTCTAGGATGAACTTGAACTCACAGTAATCCTCCTACCTTAGCCCTTCAGGCATTATAGGTGGGGGCCACCACAGCTGGTTTACAAGCAAGACTTTGTGAGGGTGGATGTGATGTGGGCTGGGAGTGACTCTAGTGCCCTCATGTGGCCGCCTCCTGACCCCCCAGTGGTCAGTGCAATCAAGAGTTTGGCTTTCTTCAACCTCTGACAAGAGCCAGGGCTCTGAGAGTGGGTTTTGTAAATGTATGCTCTTCTGAATCACAGTCCCCTCATCTGTGAAATAGAAATGACAATGTCAGTGTGAAAACCTAGTGGGTAATGTACTTGTTTTGTATACTAAATATTACCCATATAAGGTTTTGTATACTGCAATTAAGGGCCACTGTTTGCCCCAATCCCACCTCTATTGTTTTTCTGTTGTGATAAAAAACATCATGACCAAGGCAACTTATGGAAGAAAGAGTATATTTTGGACTTATGGTTTCAGAGGGTTAGGTCCATAATGGCTGGAAGAGGTAGCTAGCATGATGGTTGGAGTCAGAAGCTGAGAGTTGATAGCTCACATCTTGAACCACAACCAGGAAACAGCACACTGGAAATGCTGTTTTAAAGGCTTTTAAACCCTCAGAGCCTGCCCCTAACATGCTTGCTCCAACAAGGACACACCTCCTAAATCTTCCAAACTGTGCCACCAACAAGGACCAAGTATTCAAATGTCCAAGACTATGGACATTCTCATTCAATTTCAGCAGGAGGGAGGAGAGAATGGTGGCTTGAATGAGAATAGCCCCCATAAGCCCACATGTTTGAATGCTTGGTCCACAGTTGATGGAACTTTTTGGGAAGGATTAGGAGGTGTGGCCTTGTTGGAGGAGGTGAGTCACTGGGGGTACTCTTTGAGATGTCTAAAGATTTGACCAGTTAGGGCTCTCTCTGCCTCGTGGTTGTGCCTCAAGATGAAAGCTCTCAGCTTCCTTTATCTGCAGCCTTCACCCGTGGGGAGAGCAGAGAACCCAGTGGTGGGGCACGGGGGTGTGGGGGCTTGGGTTGGGTGAGCTTGTGTAAGGGGAGTGAGACCCAGGGGCAGTGGCAATCTGGCAGCTGGAGGCTTTCACTGGAGATCTGGACCTTAGTGAGCTGGGGCACATTGGAGAGTGGAACAGATGGAAATGAAAAGGCAGCAAGGACACGATGGTCAAAAAGCAGCCAAAGTGACAGTAGCTGGGGCCTGGGATGCAGGCTCTGTCAGCAGCTGCATGGGAGGGGTAAGGGAGACAGAGACGGGAGGTGGGTGATGGTTGTGGCCTGATGTCCCTCACTGAGGTGATGGGTCATTCAGTCAGGGCTTCTCAGGTCTGAATTCACAGAGAACAAATGGCTTGGTTTAGAGAAGACAATTTACCAACCCACTTAAGAGACAAGTCTGAAGGTTGGTCTGGACTCAAGCCTAGTTGACTAGGCCCAAACCAAGAGAGCAGTCCTGCCTTTCTCCTCTCCTAGCTTCTTCTGCCCCTCAGTTTGCTTCGGTCAGCCTCCAGCTCAGCTTTGGAGTGTCATCTAGCAGTGTCATGCTGCCTGGGTGTGCACTCTGTAGTGCATGTTCTGACCATGGCCTGAGATGGCACTTGACTTCTATGGTACCTTCCCTCATCTTTAGATCAAGGAAAACAGGACATGGCTCATGCTGGTTTTTTCCATAGGACAAAAGAAAGTTCATACAGATGAGATGTGAATGCACAGTGTGTGCTGCCCTCATATGTGGCCTCCTGGCTTCAAGTCTATCAGGACAAATGGAATCATATCCAAGTGATGCTAGCCAAGTCCTGGGTCTGTTGTGAATGAAGCTGAATCACCGTTATCCTGTATCCTGAGAGTATAGAATGTTCCAGACCTTGGTCACATGACTGCTTGACTTGTGGCTGAGAAATACCACGAACTACAGGATCCAAAGCAAGGGCATATCTCCTGTTTAATGCTGGGGCCAACCGAGGCTCTTGGCTGCTGCAGAGGTGGAGGGGTCTGCTCTCAGCTCAGCTCCAAGACACCTCAGGGACAATTAGCTCTGGGGATGGAGCTTAACAGGGAGTTCTGGGCCATGATGTTGCTAGAGCCACACATGAAGCTTGGATGGATCAGGCTGAGGCAAAATAGCAGGAGTACTTGGTGTACTGTCACTTAAATGAAGGCAGGAGAGAAGAGCCAGAGAGCCGGGGAAGTTGGTGATGGGTTAGTCTGTGTGTTGGAGAAGAGTGGGTTTTGGAAACTGGGGTCTTGGCCAACAGGTCTGGGGTGCTGGGAGGAGCTTGTACCTTTGGAGGGAGGCCGTGTGGGAGGTTCCAGCCCATCTGAGCTGTACTTGTTTGCTAGACAATTCTCACTTTGTAGCTTGATGGTTTGTTTGCTATATAGACCAGACTGGCTAGGACTCTGCTGTTTCCCCTAGTGCTGTGATAAGACACACATCACCATGTGTTGTCAGCGTGCTTTCTTCTGCTTTTTATTCCCCTGAGGCAGGTTTTGTCTGTGTAGCTCCGGCTGTCCTGGAACTCACTTCGTAGACAAGGCTGGCCTTACACTCACAGAAATCCACCTGCTTCTGCCTTCCAAGTGCTGGGATTAAAATTATCATGCCCAGGAAAAATTTTTCAAGAGTTACAGGCTGGGCAGTAGTGCATGCCTTTAATCCCAACAATGGGAGGCAGAGGCAGGAGGATCTCTGTGAGTTGGAGGCCAGCCTGGTTTACAAAGTTACACAGAGAAACCCTGTCTTGAAAATAACAAAAACAAACAAACAAAAATTACATTTTGATTTTGTATGTGTGTGTGTGTGTGTGTGTATGTGTGTGTTTGTCTGCCTGCATGTGTGTGCACAGCACATATGTGGAAGTCAGAGGACAACTTTGAGGAATCAGTCCCCTTTTTCCACATGTCAGTTCTGGGTATTGAACTCAGGTCTTGGTGGCAGGTGCCCTTACATGGCGGGCTATCTTGTTGGCCCAGTACCTAGACTTTCTATGCGGGTTGTGGGGATGTGAACTCTGGTCTTGATGCATACACAGTAAGTAGTTTATTCACAGAAGTATCTACCCAGCCCCCTGAAAGACACCTCTTTGGTTGTGTGAATGCTCTGCCATGCACCTGTCTCTCTTAGGTAACCCAAACCTGAAGCATACTCCTCCCATGCTTCCCATGCAGCTGCTGCACTTGGGCCCCGTGGGATCGCTGACCCATAGGTCACACTCTGTGTCTGTCCCTCTTGTGTCTGACAGCTATGACCCCATTCAGAGCCCCTCCCTCTCTTGAGAGCCCTTGGTCACCTTGTCCTTTCAAATGCTCGTGTAAACTTTTTTTCTTATCACATTTATTTTTGCTCTGTTTTGTTTTTGTTTTTCGAGACAGGGTCTCTCTGTATTGTTTTGGAGCCTGTCCTGGAACTTGCTCTGTAGACCAGGCTGACCTCAAACTCACAGAGATCTGCCTGCCTCTGCCTCCCGAGTGCTGGGATTAAAGGCGTGCACCATCAATGCCTGGCTTCTTATTACATTTATTTAGTGTGTGTCTGTGCACACCCTGGCACACACAGAGAAGTCAGAAGACAACTTATAGGAGTTGGTTCTCTCCTTCCAACATGTAGGCTCCAGGGATTGAACTCAGGTCATCAGGCTTAGTGGCATGTGCCTTTATTCACTAAGCCATCTGACTGGTCCATCAGACAACCATTTTCGTGACAGCTTCCTGACCCATGGCCTCTATGTCTGCCCTGTCTCTTACTCCCTCCCTGTGGAATTTACCTGTCCATTTGCTTCAGTCACTTTTGCTGTGTCCTAACTTCATTCCTTCCACAGAACTGTTCCAGAAATCTTCATCCTCAGATGATTGCCGTAGTCTATGCTTTGACTTGGAGTGGATGCTGGGTGACCTCAGACGATGTAGCACATCTCTGGCTAAGTGGGTGGTGCTGAGCCTGGTTGCCACCTCTGCTTCTCACCTCTACCCCACTGTTCCAGAAAGTTCTCCCCCTCACACGGGCCTTCAAGGCTCCCTGTCTCAGACCTTGAGCTTCCTGCTAACCTCCTTCACCTCACTTCTTCAGTTGCTCCTCATTGGCTCTGGTGTCCCAACACTCAGGTTTCTCTGCCTTAAAATAGCCCGTGTTCACCCCACAGCCTCCTCCAGTTACTCTTGGGCAGCCAAGCTTCTCAGATCGACCCCACTTGCCACCCCCGCTCTTTGGGCTCCCAACTGGTTCTAGGACTTTCCCAGGCCAGGCTTTACCCTCCCCTCCAGCAGCCACTTCTCGGTCCTCATGTTGGCTGCCCTTCTGGCCACTCCTTTGTCACCTCTCTCCTCCTCCAGTGTCCACACTCCCTTTGCTAACATTTTTGAGGCACCTGGAGACCATGGGATTTAGGATGACACTGGGGCCCAACCATGTCTGCCCCTTACAGGGTCACCTACGTTCCCCACCTGTTTGGAAAACAGGGTAATGGTAGCAGACACTTGGGGACTGTCTTAGTCACTGTTCTCTTACCATGAAGAGACACCATGATAAAAGAAAGCATTTGATTAGGGGCTTGCTTACAGTTTCAGAGGTGAGCCCAGGACCATCATGGTGGGGAGCATGGCTGTAGACGAGCAGGCATGGTGCTGGAGCAGTAGCTGAGAGCTCACATCTGACCCACAAGCAGGAGGCAGGGGAACTGGGTCTGGTGAGGGCTTTGGAACCTTCATAGCACCCCCAAATGCACATCTCCTCCAACAAAGTGCCACACCTCCTAGTCCTTCCCAAACAGTTCTACCAACTGTGGAGCAAGCATCCAAACATAAGAACCTATGGGAGCCATTGCCATTCAAATCACCACAGTGACACAGAGGGGAGGGGATAGAGGAGGGGATGGGGAGGGGATGAGGGAGGGATGGCGGAGGGGATGGGAAGGGGATGGGGGGATGGGGTGGGGAGGGGATGAGGGAGGGATGGGGGAG